GGGGGGGGGGGGGGGGGGGGGGGGGGGGGGGGGGGGGGGGGGGGGGGGTAAGGGCGAAATTGTTCGATACAGGGGAGGATCGGTCGGTAAATGAATGCAGTGGGAAATGGTCATGTAGTAATAAACTAACTCCACGAAGACATGCTACCATCAGAGTAGAATATTTCAATTCAATTTTTTTTTTACGGCGAAGTGATTATTTGGATAGATGGAAATCCGGACATCCTGTATAACATCGTTATGAGGCGTGTCAGAATTTGAATTCTCAAAAATGATCAGTTCACCCTAGAAAAAAATTGGATTGAAATGTTCTACTGTGATGGTAACTGTCGTCCAAAAGTTAAGAAGCATTGCAACTTACCATTGGAATAAGAACTGGATTCCAATTTTTTTCATTACAAAAAAATTATTCTGTAAAACCCAAATTGTTACATTGTAGATGCGAAGGTTATAAATGATGTATGGAAATTGGTTTTGGCTGAATGATCTTCTGGCGACGAAAAAAATGGAAATCCATTTTCTACTCCGATGGTACTTGCCGTACCATTGTCCGGAGATCTGACTTAGGCGCAGCTGCTAGAAAATTCTCTTTCATTTATATTATGCACTTTCTGATGACGTTCCACGCTCTAGTCCCCCCTCATCGGACCGACCGAACCTCACCCTAATTTATTTTTTTCTATTCGGAAGTTCGTCCCCCAGTCGTAGATTTTACTCGGACAACGCACAGACCAAAATCGGGAACAAATAAAAGAAAGTGCAAATCGTTTTTTTGCATACGTAATTTATTCGGACTCTCATTGATACTGCGGTGGAGGTGGAAGAAATACTCATGTGCATTCTATGAGAATAGGCTCTTTATCACTGGAAAATTCAACCGGTAAGTCTCGTGGTTAGGCCAGTGCAGTGTGGCATTGGAGTGAATTATTAATTGAATTAGGTTACGTGTCAAGCCCGAGTGCTCTAGTTTTTTATTCATGTGGATTGTTTTTGGTTTTCCAGGGCTCAGGATGGGGAGAAGACGTATTTGTACTTTGGGGGCTGTGATTTTCAGTGTTTTTATGGTTATTGGGGCCTTGGGAGAGAGCCACACTCATGATCAGGATGCCAGTGATGATGAGGATAACCAAAAACCCGTTTACAAGAGCCCGACTGTCTCTGGGTTTGCGTACTTAGCCGAGCATTTCGATGATCGGGAGAGATTCAGTGCTATTTGGGTACAGTCGCAGGCTAAGAAGGAGGAGATCGATGAGGATATCGCTAAATACGATGGTAATGTTTCTGTTTCGTCAGGTGGTAATTTAATTTAATTGATTTGGACGATTTCTTTGGTGGGGGATTTTTGAGAGAAGGAAGAGCCGTAGAAATAGTTTTTATAAACATTTGACTATTTATGTTGAATTTAGACATATTTATCAATAACTAGGCTCATCGTTCCAAAATAAACCGAAATGAATGAAAATCAATTGATTAATCCCCTCACCGCAACTAATTTTAATCAATCACAAAAGGTGTTTGGGCCGTCGAGGAGCCAAGCAGAAGTGTTCAAGACGGCGATTTGGGCCTAGTATTGAAGAGCAAAGCTCGACATGCTGCCATAGCAGCTCTCCTCAACAAGCCCTTCAAGTTTGAGGAAAAGCCACTGGTCGTCCAGTACGAAGTTAATTTCCAGGAGGGCCAGGAGTGCGGGGGTGCCTACCTGAAGCTCCTCACCCAGGAGGAGGGCTCCCTGGACCTGACAAATTTCCACGACAAGACCCCCTACACTATCATGTTTGGGCCCGACAAGTGTGGCACCGATCACAAGCTCCACTTCATCTTTCGTCATAAAAATCCCATCAATGGTAGTATCGAGGAGAAGCACAGTAAAAAAGCCAAGGAACGACTCGAGGATTACTTCAAGGACAAAGTACCCCATCTCTACACACTCATCGTTAGATCTGACAATTCATTTCAAGTCAAGGTCGACGGTAAAATAGTGAATGAGGGCTCTCTCCTCGATGACTTCACACCACCGGTCAATCCACCTCTGGAGATTGAGGATCCGAATGACATTCAGCCCGAGGACTGGGACGACAGGGAGAAAATACCAGATCCTACGGCTGTTAAACCAGAGGACTGGGACGAAGATGCACCTGCCCAGATTGTCGATGAGGACGATGTCATGCCGGAGGATTGGCTCGAGAATGAACCACCCACCATTCCAAATCCTGATTCAGCTAAACCTGACGACTGGGATGTGGAGATGGATGGCGAGTGGGAACCACCGGAGATACCCAATCCCAAGTGCGAGGGCATCTCTGGGTGTGGAGTTTACAAACAAAAATTGAAGAAGAATCCGAGGTACAAGGGCAAGTGGCTTCCTGCTCTTATTAATAATCCTAATTATAAGGGACAGTGGAAGCCCAGGCTCGTTCATAATCCGGAGTATTTCAATGATCAACAGCCTTTTAAGATGATGCCAATTGTGAGTAGTTTTTATTTATTCATTTATTTATTTATTTTATTGCTTTAAGGGATCAATTTTTATATTCATTTAATTGAAAATTCAAAATGCCGTTGATACCTCAAAGGTAAATGTCAATTTCAGGGTAATTGTTCCATGAAAGATGATAGAAATGAGGGGACAATCAGGTGAACATATTCTTGAATGTTAAATTAATAGAAAATTCCGCATATTTTTACACTGAATATTGATGTTTTTATTGAAAATTCAAGTAAGAGGGGAAACTCTTACCTTTCTGATGCTCAAAAATATAAAATTTCATAATTTGCCCCTGTAAATTTAAACTGTCGTTGAGTTTGTACAACGTTTGGAATTTCTCTCCGCGGTTCATGTTAATGATTTTCCCCATTTCTTTACATTCTTATCTTCACTTCAGCGTAAATATCAAGCTTTAGGGATCATTAAGAGTTTTCATCACTAAATACATTTTCCATCCAAATAGTTTCTAAATTATTTCCAATATTTTTATCATTAACCCATAAAAAATTTTCGAACAATATAATTTATCATGTGTAAACTTTGGTCACGTAATGACTCTCGAGTTAAAAACAGCTAAAATTGCTCATTTTCAGGGTAAAAAAATTCTGAAAAAAAAATTAATTACATTTTTCTTTACACAGGGCGCTATTGGATTTGAACTCTGGTCAATGTCTCCGGACATTCTCTTCGACAATCTCATAATCACTGACGATGAAGATGTTGCTAAACAGTGGGCCGACGACACCTTCGAGATTAGACGAAAGAAAATCGCTCAGGAAGGTGTAAGTAGTTGAAAATACTTTCAAATTCGATGAAGTGGTAAAATTGATCATCTTTTTTCTACGGGAGATGAAATTTTTTAAAAACCATCTTCCCCTCAAATCCAATTGAAAATTACTCAGGAAACTCAATTTTTGCGACGAATTGAGTCTTTTTTTTCCCGCTTCATCCACTTGAATGAATTACATACAAAGTAAATAAGATAAAAATGAAACCTCTGCAATGCAAACGTGCTCAGGCGACATTGTGGGGTCGAATGATGAAATCCATGAACTATAAGCCCGGTTGGTGGGCGGTTTATTTCATCTACTGCGCTGTACCAATTGTCATTTACATTTCGTACCTCTTCAGAAGATCACGCGAGGTACAGAGATTCAAAATGAAAATTCAGAGTAATTTGTGAAAGCTTTGTGCCAGTAGAGCTACTGCGTATACCAAATTTAATCCACTGCAATTCTATTTCATTCCATTTTGCCCATCAAATTTATAAATTTTTCTCAAGTGATTTGTTTTCAAATTATAAATAATCCCATCAACGAACCGGCCAAAGTACTTGAATACCCTTAAGTACCTGTAGGCTATTATCCACCTAATTACTCAGCCCCCTCTTTCCTCAATTAGTCAAGTGTATGGCGTCGAGTTGCTAATTTCACCAGCGAAAACCCATGGATTTGGGCAGTGTACATAGTATCCACTGGCCTACCCCTATTGCTCATCATCTATTGCTGCTGCTTCTCCTCAAAGGTATCACTGAAATTACCACGTAGCATGCTTGTTTTATTTCCCAAACTGGAGAACATTTTTTTAAATAATTTTCATCGGCCAGGATTCGTCTGACGACGAGAAGGATCCGCTTGCTCCCACTGATGAGACCAAGTACCCGACCCCCGATGGTAATGCCAACCCTGAGGACGAAGTGCCTCGTTTACCCCGCCCTGATGAACCACTTAACGATAATAATGAAAATCATGAAGAGACTGATGAAATTATCGCGAGTGAAAAGGTAATGTCTCTCAATTTTTCCTTGCATGATTTTTTTTTTGTTCATTGAATACGTATTATTTTTCAATGAGCATTAACACACATTTTATCATTTTTAATTGACAAAACTTTCCCCAGGACGAACAGGGAGGAAGTGGCGATGGACCCCGCCGGAGAAAGCCAAATAAAGAATAAAGAGTAGATGAACAACTAGGAAAAAAAAAATTGAATTATCTGTAACATAAGTCACATTCCACCGTATGTCCACTGAAAGAAAGAAGGAAAAACATTTGTTATTGCATTTACGTAACTATAAAACATGTTCAAACGCGCCATTATTCGTGTGCATGCCATGCAACTATTCTCTCCCTCATTCTCCCTGAATTTGCATAATGAATTTTTTTTCATCCAGTCACGTATTTATATTCGTATTGGTTCAATTACGATTAAATGGTAATATTAATTCCTTTAACTATTGGTGTTTGGAGGCACTGATGATCGAGTATTGTTTATACATATGTACACGATAGATACATTAATGGTAAAATTATGAATACGAGTTGTACAATTGTGCTTGCCTCCCAATGTTTGTTTCGAAGTAGTTGACGCACCTGTGTCTTGTTTTCACTTATTTCTCTCAACAGAGAGGAGGAGGTTTTTGAAATTTGATAATGTGAGATGAAATATTTCTCTGTAGAACATTTCTTCGTAATGATTGTTGATTTTTTATGAATAAATCACGATTTGAAAGACATTTGTGCATTTGGTTTGTCGTTCATTTGTTCTCCAGCAGACGGACAGTTGACGACAGCCATTTTGTTGATGTACAGCATACCACATTGCTGCCGTTAGCTGGCGAATTGCTAATTATGCTTTACTGACAATTAAATATCAATGAATAGATGATATTTTAAGTCAATTTTTTCATTACAATTCAAGTGTTAAATTATTTTATTTTTTTTTTGTGGGACTCTGGAAAACAAAATTGCAGACAAAAGCATATTCTGCCAACTTTTGTACATGCTCGCAAATCGATTCTCCATCCACTCGTCTCAAGGGGTTCAATATTCCTGACGTTTCTTAAATTGATTAATATCTAATTGATTAATACCACAATATCAAATTTTGTAGGCATAATTGTGAATTCAAACCATAAGAAGATGAAGCATTTTATTTACCAGTTATATGCGTTGAAGAAATAGTCTTATTTGCCAGGCTTATCAGATTTTTATTGATTAATCAGAAGGAATATACTTCTATATAATTGAATAACATATATAATTGAATATACTTGCCACAACCGATGATTCGATTGAAATTTTTTATAACACTTAAAACTATGATATTAAGTTATTTGAATAAAACTTTGAAAAATCGTTAGTGAAATGTTATTCCAAATTGAGGAAAAGCCACGTGAGCGACAGCCACTAGTTAATCGAAACTTTTAATGATATCAATCGTTGGGTAATACAGCAAGTCTGGAACGTCTTTCGCCCACAGATAATCTACATGATTGAACGATGTGAGATTAACTCTCTGGATTGAGATTCCATTGGGAAGTTCCGCATAGAATCTTTTTACATCCTGAAATAATACCAAATATATTATATTATTATTTGCCAATTATTTTGCCTCATTTCAACGTTTCTCTATAAATAGAAAATTAATTTGACTTACGCGAACTTCAGCCAGCCAGTCGTTGTCACCGTAGAAGCAAGCAATGGGAACTTTTATTTTTGATATATCGTATTTTGGTGGAGTGGGCGTACCATATTTTTTTAAATTATCCAATACTCCATAATCATACTGCCTGAATTGGTAACGCTCTACTTCTTGCAAATAATGAATGACACTTTTTGTTGAACTCCCAGTAGGAGCGAGACCCGTGACAGTTGTCAATTGATCCTACGGCAATCATTGGAATCTCAATGTTAATATTAATGTTAATTTTTAATGTTTAATGTTAATCTTTCTCTTCCGACTCACCCAATCTATCTGCGCCGTATCAAATCCGGCTATTGCAAAAATTAAATTCGCACACAAATGCCCGGTGACGGTATTGCTGCTACAGGAATGTCGCAGGAGAACACCGATCATATGATCCGCGGCGAACAGCTCGTTGAAGCCAATGGTTTTTGCAATCATCTTGAAAAATCAAAATTCTATGTAGAAACCTTAAGTTGGTGGAACAGTGATGAAACGTAACAAGTCAGACACGTATGAAAAAATTTAATAGAACACCTAGCGAAATCGTTATAGAAAATTCTATTGGAATTCTATAGAAATAATTTATCCCTTCGAAACGTTAGATGAAAAGCTGAAAAGTGTGGATGCTGACCTCTAGTTTATCGACCACCGGTGCCAAGAGCCATAGAGGACTCTTGATGTGAGTCATGTAGACAACTGGTGAAAAACTGATGATCAATTTCAATTTATCCTGCATATCAGGGCGTTCTGCTGCCATCACATAACTCGCTGTCGTCCCCATCGAGTGGCCAATGTAGATCACCTTCTTATTTGTATTACTGACAACGTAGTCTATCATAGCAGGTAAATCGTAGATTCCCATTTCATGCCATGAGAAGTTCCAATATTCGGATTCATCCGTAGATAGATTGACGTGCGCCTTAGACAATGCGTTACCTCGGTCGTTACCCAACCACACGTCGTATCCCAGATCCGATAGTAAATAAGCTGCAATGGTAAAATTGAATAATTTCAAGAAAAACGAATGTAGGATCATGAATATTAAAGCTATTTACCTAAGGCTTTTTCTTTGCCAAGTGAGAACCAGTCGGCGGAAGAACTCAGCAGTCCGTGCTGCAGGAATATTGGGGATCCTGACTCATTCCGAAGTCGATGCAACGTTAGTAAATATCCGTCGTCAGTTTCGATTATGTGCTCGTCGAGGACATATCCCGCGTTTTTGACCATATTCACCTGAAACCATGGCGAGAATTATGGTCCATTGAAACCAGTAATGAAGTCGATTTAGACCTCAGCTGAGTTTTTGAGGAATATCTCCGAATCTAAGGAAGATTTTGAAATTTTCGTAATGACCTTTTTTTTGTACAGCGCAATGGGCGCTACAAACAAGGTCTTGACAAAAATTCTGCTGTCTTCCTCAGATTCCGAGATATTCTTCAAAAATTCAGTTTAGGCCTAAATCGACATGAACCGTTTTACTGTTTCGCTACTGAAATATCGAATAATTTATTCATTTTTATTTTTGATTATTTTTCAATTTTTGAAATTTTTGAAATTTTGAAATTTTGAAATTTAAAATCTAGAATTTTTTATGATTTTTGTTTTTAATTATGTTTCACTCACTATTGCTGTTTCAATCTCAGGATCGTATGGTATTTTTTTTTTAGATTGTAACTCGTTGATCTGATCATTTGCTGTCGCTGTACCTGCTATTATGGCGCCGAATAATATAAAAATCAAATGAATATTTCGCGATGGAAAACATAAATCAGAATACATGATGCGATTTTTAGGGATTATTTCTGGTTCAATGTTATTGACTACTTTCAAATTTTTCTGCTCAACAGCACGAATTTATTCTGTGATAGAGCTTCACTTTTTATACAGAATACTTATGCTTCCGTATTATCGCCTGCTTCCTTTAAGAGCCAACTGAGACACTGGTTACTTGATGAAGAAACGCTGGGTTCAATTCTTTGCTCGGAGCTCAGCTAATCTCCCTTTCCCTTATTATATAAATCATTATCTTATTCATTTATCATAGCTGGTATTTGCAACATTAATTCTTGATCATAGATATTCTTGTAATCTTCTTAATACTACTCACAATTGACAAGTTGCTTACTGCTCTGATGGTATTTTTCGGCTTGTTCGCTCTAAATATTTCTCTGCTCTGTAAAAATTTTATTTAAATTCGTAAACAGGAAACTTCTTATCTTATCGTAACTTATTTTTTACCTACGTCGTAGTCCTTTGTTTTATAATTATTTCTATGTTAAAGATAATTGGGCCATAATTGGGTTGAAAAAAACAGCCATTTTTTCTTTTTTTTACGTATTCGTACGTACGTTAATTTATTATGAATTTTTGAAAAAGTGGTCATTTAACCCGTGATCTTATGGAAATCACTGAAAAAACTGCAAAATCCAAGGAAAAATGCAGCCAAAGTCATGAAACTTTAGGCACATTTGGAACATGTGATCAAGGATTTTTTGAGTGAAAAAGATTGTCGCCTAAGAGCATTATTTATCAATAATATTGAAAAAAATACTGAAAAATGAAATTTTTGCGTGTGCAGCTCAAACGAGCGCGTAGCAAAAACGTCCCAAGTACCGATCGGGTGGGGATAGTGCGGTCAAAAAATTATAACTTCTTCAATTTTCAATATTTTTCAATGATTTTTTTTTTCAAAATGTTTATTTGAAGACCAACTGTTTGGAAAAAAAATTGGCGAGAAGATGCTCGTCATCGACTTTTTTTTATCTTGCATTTTGACGTGGAACTGCTCCTATCTGAAGTGAATAGTATTTCACGCAAAAATAACAACCAGAGTTATTTGTAATTATGTATATATTCAATAGTTCATAATAATATATATATATATTTATATATGTATATATAAAAATACACCATGTATCCAATCATTTGAGACTTAATGCGTAAACATTACTTGAAGAAGTAAACTGACGATTAATACCGAAAATTCAAAATTTTATTATTTCTATAGTAACAATTGATAGTCAACTAAATTGCTGAATATTTTTTTCACCAGAATTCAACAGAATTTACAATACTCTACATAGCAACTGCTCGGTAAAATTATGATTTCAATAAAAATGTTTACAAATTTTTGTTTCATGTCGGCGAGAGAAATAAATTATCAGTCTAAACTAAATGAGGATATTAATTCGGTAGGCTAAATGAATATCGTTTATATGATGATGCTTACTCGAAATCAACGGATCGGGATAATTCACGATTAATCAAATGAATCGTTTGAAGGATTAAAATAGATATGGATAGGGCGCGATGTGCATTTTACACGTATACATATTTCTATCATTTCTCGTCATTGAACACCAGTCATTGTCGCGATTGCAGAAAAAAAAATGTCATACTCTGACCATTTCTCCTCTCACGTTTTGATTCACAGTTATAAAATATTTTGATAACTTTTAACGGCTAACAACGGAGAACTAACAATGATATTGATGGATAAATCAATCCTGGCCCATCCAGATTAAACATGTCGATCATTCAGTATTTTGCTCAATCGTCTACAGCTAAGCAGAAAAAATTATTCAGTGTTAAAAGAAATGACACAAGTGTCAATCGTTGATTATTCTTCGATATTTTCTGTTCGGGGGGAACACCTCCTCGTCTTCATCAGCATCTGTTGTCAAGAATGGATCGTCGTAGGCGTAATTTGGTACCCACTTCAGTAATAATTTTTCAAAAAATTCCTCGAGATTGCGAGCTTCTTGGTAGACTTGAGAATCCACCTGAGAGAAAAAAAAAAGTCAATTATTGGAGGGAAATGTGACAATCGTGATGAGTGATTGTTTTCGTCAATCAATTGCAATAATACGCAATAGTATCGGATCCTCAGTCCAAAAAAAAGAGACTGCAAGTGAAGTGGAAGCATGCATTTCATCCCGCACGTATTCACGTATGTTTGCCCCGGTAGTCACAGATTTTTTAGACCCATTACTCACAGGATTATAGGTAAATGCATTTTTAAACATCAGTCTAATGTCAGCAAACACTTGTCGCAAATCAGTGTAATGATTGGCGCTATCGGATTTCAGTTTCTCTCGGATGACATCCAGAGCCATTGGCTTTTTGATGATCCGATGGTACTCTGCAATCTGCAAAGAGAATAGAGAATATCCATTAATCATCATAATCGATCCTTTTATCAATCACCATTCATTATTTACATGAATTGTTCTTGGATATTTTTATCATTACAATATTAAAAAATAATATCGAATCATCTTTCATTTTAATTTTTTTAATTTTTTAATTTTCCTTGCATTATAACGTGGTGTCCCGATCACTACATATGGACGGAAAAAAAGCTATAAAATGACAAACCTCCGGTGACACAATTTCCCGAAACGGAAGACTCTGTTCATACTGGCAATAAAGCTCCAGCACAATTCTCTGCGCGATTCTCAATTCCTTAGCGCTCATAAAATGCGGCCGTTTGTCAGAGGGTGGATCGTCAGAAGTGTCTAGCACATTGGTGCACAGCATGCACTGCCAGGTTTCGCTCTCATCCGGGAATGTCTTGAGCGCTGGTATATGACAGTAAAGATGAAAGACCTTGGGGCACTTGTCACAGCACAAGACAGCATCGCCCCCGTCCATGCAGACAGCGCACCAGTCCTCATTGGGATCGTCCTTGGTCATGGAAGCAGCGATCTCCTTGGAGCCCTCATCCGAGTTGTCCCTGTCCATGTTCACCCCCTCATCCGTCGAACTGTCGACCTGCGCAGAGTCCAACTGATTTTTCTGGGCCTCCGGAATCACGACAATCCCATTGGAATCCAACTTGGCGATAGTCAGCATCAAGTCGTTGAGAGACTTCTGACAGAACTTGTCGAGACTCTTTTCAGTCTCGTCTGCCTTTCCCGGCACTGGACTCGGTGTCTTAGGGACCGAAGACGTCACTGTCTGTCCAGGAGTCGAGACCTGCGGGGTCTCCCCCCCACTCGCCACCCCAGTCGCCGCACTCTTCTGACTGCTTCCACTCGAAGCATTGCTCATCCCACTACTCATATTACTACTCATATTACTACTCATATTATTGTTGTTGTTGTTGTTGTTGCTGATGGTGTTGTTGTTCTGCTGTGCCTTGAGCATTATTTTGTAAGCCTCGTTGGGGAGGGAAGCTGGTGGTATGTGGACCTGTGTCATGGGTCTCTGGGGAAAAAAATTCACGCCAGGATTGGCCGACTGGGGGATATGCCAACGAGCTGCCTGCTGATAATTGGGGTAGGGATTCTGGATCTGGCTCGAGGGGGCTGGGTTGAGCTGCTGGACCCTGCCCCCGGACACCAGAGCTGGATTTGTGGGCTGATAGGTATGTGTGGCAGGTGCCACTGGTCTCTGAACGTTATTAGCTGGGTATCGGTAGCCAGGGGGCAGCCTGTAGGCCATGTTGGGCATTGCCCTCTGAAAGGGAGCCAACAGCCCCCTGAGATTGGCGTTCTGCCCCATCTGGTCGAACTGCACCTGCTGGGGATGTGTGGAGGAGGTGACCTGCTGGTGGCAGTTGCCCAGGGGACGCTGGGGCATCATCAGTTGGTGGCGAATGGCCCCGTTGTAGCTCACGTTGTACGGTAGTCTTGGGGGTTGCGACTGTGGGGAGGATCTTGGAGGTAGTGTGTGCATTGAATACTGCGGGGGATAATGCTGAGGGGGTGCTTGGGGCTGGGATGGAGGCAGTGGTGGGGGCTGGTTCACCATTGGTGGTTGAGGAGTGAATGTCATAGGCACTGAGGTAAAAGTGTTGACTTGAGTCGAAATTGAAGGTTGAAGAGGCAACAGTGGAACTGTTGGACTCTCAGCTGGAGCGTTAACCGGGGGTGTTTGCTTGCGCTCTGTTTGCAAATCAGTGGGAAGGGTTGTGGTGGGCGTGCTTGCACCCGACGAGGGGGACTGCGAGGGAAAGACCCTCCCGTCAACGTATATCGAGCCTATAGAGGACACGACCTTTATCAGGTCTGCCACCTTCTCCAGGGACAAGTGAATTCTCACTGGAATCTCCGGATTCGGAATGTCTGCTCGCCTATTCTTTATTCTCTGCAGATGACCTGTCACCGATTTCTTCGAGTACAGAAAGTCCATGTCCGAGCCTTTCTCAAGGGCATATGTCACGAACTGAATGCAGTGATCAGTCAGCTTTGACAATTGATCCAGTGCTATTCGCTTCTCGTTCAATGTATTTTGTTTTTGATCGCATACCTCGTTCAGCCGCATCACCAACTGTTTCCCCCTCGTGTTTATCGCATTTGTCATCTGCACCACCATCTGCGTTATGTCCTGCACTAGGTTCTTCTTCTTTTCGACTATGAGAACCTGACGATCCTCTATCACCTTCATCGCACTCTTCAGCAGCACTCGTTTGTACGTGACTTCTTTGAGAAGTGTTTGAACCGATGTTTTCGTTTCAGCAGCTATTTCGTGGATGAATTTGTATCTGTGATCCCTGTGCTCAGTCAGCTGACAGTCACGACATGTCAGGCGATCGCAGGTCTGACAGAACAGGGACAACTGCTCGTGGGGGTGGACCGAGCAGAACAGGTAGCTCGGGGCTTTTTTATCGCTCTTCTTGGCACCCTCGCCGTCCCTCGAGACCTCCTCCTTCGGCTTGATCGTGTGATCCTTCGTTATTTTCAATCTCTGATGCGCCATAACGCAATTCTGACAGATAAACTCCTCGCAATCGACGCACCAACTTGTTGCTGTCGCATTGTCATGGCAGCTCGTGCACTTTTTCTCCTCCTCCTCGTCCTTGTTCGCGTCCTCGTCGGACGTTTGATTCATCTCATCGTCGATGAATTTAGTGTGAAAACGATTCTCTATCAGATTTTCACCCTGACTCGCGACATTGCATATTGGACACACGATATTACCCTCCAATACGACCTCCGAATCAACGTATACACTGTGATCACTCAATTTGGCACTTATACAACCACCGCATGCAGCATGAAGACACTCCAACAATTTGGCCTCATCCTCGTAGGTAAATGATTTATTACAAAATACGCATTTTGAGAGGAAATATCTCACTTCGCTCTCGCGACTCTCGGGGGTGCATCTGCTACCCTCGTTCTCATCGTTGTTCGTTGTCACTTGCATCTGCAACTGTTGGGCATCATTGTTGGGCTCAATTGGCTCCTCTTTCACGGCACTTGGGGGCACAATCACCTCGGAGATGACTTCCTCCATTATTTAACGGTATTCATTCACTGATTGTAATTGTAGGTACGCGCGATTCGGCTATTTACAATTGATTATTTGTTTATTTCACATGGTAAACACGATCTGCGCTGGGGGAAAGCTCGCGGAAGTGCTTTGGAGCACAGTTTTGCCAGTTTTTACGAACACTATTGGGAGTTTAACGAGATACTTGGCTGCTGGAAATGGGATGCTCGCGATTCGGCGAGGGATTATTGGGTTACGATGGGGAGAAAGGCATTTGACACGTTTTTGGCTCACTTTCCCGTAATTTCATCACGGTTTCGCATGGTGAGGTTTGACGAGTCGCTTCAGAACCTTCCTCCGCCTTCCATCCTTCGGTTCAGTTGGCGATTTCACCGTTGCGCGACGCTACTGCCGCCAGAGGAATAATCCCGCCATCTCCCAACGTGCCGCTGCACTAGAATTTTTCTTCGATGTTAAGAGTGGGGGACACGAGTGTAAGGGAAAATTACTTGGAGTGGTGGTATCCACAGAAAAATTAACATTTGTATACTTCAAAGTGAGAGGAAGAGAGCGATTCATTAACTAATTAATTGATTGAGGTGTTTATTGATGTCCTAAAATCCACAGTATTTACTAAAAAGAAGGTTTTTGATGTATACTTTTTAAATTTCTGATAAGTAATATTGCATTTTTCACATTTTCATTTTTTATTCTGTTTCATATTATAGGGAGAGAGACAGAGAGAGGGAGAGAGAGAGAGAGAGAAAAAATGTTTCAACTCTTCACAAGAGAAATAAGCCGCTGTCAGTGACGAGGACTGCACCGACTGATGAGGTCCACCCTGATTTCATTCAAAATCAGAAATTGACATATCAAGTGAGATCAATTTTCACGAAAAAAAATTAATACCTATTGTTTTGGGCCCTTGTGAACATTTCTATCGATTCACTGATTAATTTATTGAGTTATTGTTAATTATTGTGATCGATGTTTTTGTGACAATCTGGCAGCAGACAGACGACTGGATACAGCAGGAAGATCGGCGTTTTCCAGCCTCGAGGGATTTACATTCCTCATAGTTCAGGCAATGATAATTTTATTCTGTTTATTCCTCGTGATTAATAGCATTTTTTATGTTTTATTAATTTATTTGCCGTAAACAACATTCTTTATTTTTTTGCGGTACTGATGATCAATACGACACTTTTGTTCTTTAGACTGAATAGAACAAAGATAAAACTCACAAGAAATTATTTACGAATATAGAAAAATTAGAAAATGTGAAAAGAGAATGATTACAATTCTTTCATTCGGAAGAAAAAAAAAACCCTTTCATTCATTTTACAGAGAAGGAAAAGAGCGCTTATTCAGTATCAGGTACCGTTTATGAGCAATACGTGATAACGAAACAATGGCAGAAACGAAAGAGCCAATTGCTCCGGAGCTCACGTCAGCGAAGCATGCGGATGAGATTAGAATCTGTGGAATCGAGGGGTAAGATCCAAATCCGTATTTCTCATCTCTCGTACTATTTGATATTATCACTTGAGTATGATTGACACTCTTCGTGACTCTTATCACTCGGCCTTGAGTCTTGGAAATTCAGGAGATAAAACTGTAGGAATACTACCTGGTTGAAATGATTTCCGCAAATTGCCAAGGAATAAAACTAAATTCACGTAAAAAATCCAAAAGAATCCACTCATGGAGAAAAATCAAACAGTGAAAATAGTAATTACCCAGTTTTTCACAGCGGTAATTTTTTTATTGGTGAAAATTATTATTTTACTGAATTTATGAAAAAATGTATTGTATCAATGAAAAAAAAATAGTCACAATGGAAATATTGTTATCTCGTTTCACCAATTCATTCTCCATTTAATTAATTGATTTTTCTTCATTTTTTTTCGAGGGGAGCCACGCAGTCTTTATTGATTGTAATGGATGGCAATGGGAAACGATTGGTCGAGGTACCAGGGCCTTCTACAAATCATTGGGTAATTGAATCATCCAAACTACTACATTCTATTAAATTCCTTCAATTGACGGAACCAACAAAAAAATCATTCAATCGTTCCTTTTGGTTTAATTAACTCTCATTCTAATATATCCCTCATCACCCATTGATTCATGCTCTCTCAGGGTTTCGGAATGGAGGAAACCACATCCAGAATCAACTGCATGATAGAGAAAGCAAAAGAAGCCCTGGAGATGCCGCTATCACAACCAATGGATTGCACAGTACGTCTTCAATCAATTAGAGGAGTTCATGCATTAATTGAGAATATTCATTCAGGGCCTGTGCTTGAGTGGCTGCGAGGAAGAGGAGACTAATCAGAAACTCGTGGAGATGCTCTCGACTAATTTTCCAAATGCCAGTAGAGAGTACGTCGTGGGGAGTGACACAGTGGGAAGCCTCAAAACAGGATCAGACTCTGGGGGAATCGTTTTGATAGCTGGCACTGGGAGCAATGCAGTCCTCGAAAATTCTGACGGGAGTAGGCACGGCTGTGGGGGGTGGGGACACATGATGGGGGACGAGGGAGGAGGTATTTGGTATTTATTGTATTATTTCATCTTTCTCCAATTGACTTCATTCAGAGCAATTGCTCTTAGCTGAGTTTTCGGGGAATATCTCCGAATCGAAGGGAGATAATTACCAAGTTTTCGTAATGACTTTTTTTGTAGCCCTCAATTCGTCCTACATGCATACAAGGACAAAAATTTTGCTATTTCCCTTGGATATCGAGATATTCTTTGATAACCGGCCAAAAAATTTCTAATTGTTACTTTCTATTGTAAAATTGATTCATAATTAATTAAAATCGTTTTAGCATTTTGGATTGCTCACAAGGCTGCAAAATATGTCTTCGATGACCTGGACGGTCTTCAGAAGGCTCCACATCTCATCAGTTACGTTTGGCCAGCGATGAGAACGTTCTTTCATGTGCCAAACAGAAATGCAATGCTCCCACACTTGTATAATAATTTCAACAAGAGCAAATTCGCCATGTTTACAAAGGAATTGGCCACTGGGTGTGAAAAAAACGATCCTCTGTGTTTATCACTGTTTACCTCTGCTGGAAAAATGCTCGCCAAGCATATTAATGCACTGGCACCAAAGGCACACAACGTAAGCATCGTTAAATTTTTTTTTTTAATTTTTGCTTTAAAAATATGCGAAAGTATTATCGAAGTATTCAATTTGTTTGATTTTATATTAATCTCATTTTCTGAATTTTTCACTCTTCTTTTTATTAGATTTTGCGATATAACAAAGAAATTAAAACGTCAGAGATTATAAAGTTTTGATTAAAATCTTTGTTCAATTCCTCTAAAGAATCGTGTCTAATCAAATTTTATTAGTTTAATTCATCTCATTCGTCTTTTTGATCTCTATCAAAAGGATGTGAAGCTGAGAAAAGGCGGTCTCAAGGTAATCTGCGTGGGTTCAGTCTGGAAATCCTGGGACTACATGAAAAAAGGTTTCACCGAGGAAATCCAAGAGGCAAAACTCGTCGATGAACTTACACTTCTGAGGTTGATAGCGCCTTCGGCGATTGGTGCTTGCTATGTTGCTGCAGAGAAGATCAAATGCGAGGGCCTGGTGAAGACTCACGACGAACACACCGAGGCTTTTTTCCACTATAAACGTGAGAATATTCCCACAGGTGGGGTTTCCACTGCTCCTGTCGACCCTTGCTGCGAGGCAACTGTCACTCCTACATCCTAGGACCACTATTATTCACTATTATTGACGATTCTACACTGATATCATGTGGCTACAAAAATTCAGATCGAGCTTTTCATCACAATATATTTTTGTATTTTGTCTTTCTCGAAAAAATAAAAAATACAATTTTTTATGAGTGGAAAATTGTTGGGAAATTTTTTTCAGAAAAATTGACAGTCAACGAAATGGTTTAACCCTTTTGTAACGTTTAAATTATGGGTGTCCTGAGCCCAATCAAGTGGATCTGGGACTGGCTCATTTGGTTCATTCTCAAAATCTTTAATTTTATTGGATATCTCGTTGTTTTAATTGTCTCGACAATTTTTTTCTTCCTCGCTGTGCCTGTGCTCATTTTTCTGGTGCTCTGGGGGCTTGGGATTGTCTGGAATGATGAGGATAATGGCAGGTGAGAGTTTTAAGAACGATAATATTACAATTGAGAATGTTATATTGTCAGAACATCAAGGAATTTTCTTATCAAAAGTTTTATCATCGGGTCATGCTATTAATTAATGGAAAAATTCTGAAATAACCGGAATTTTCTCAACAGATTTGAAGACAGACCGTGAAACGAGTGATCCATTTAAAGTCCTGAAGTCGTGGTCACTTTGTTATTCGAATGAAAAAGGAGTTCATTTTATGCTGAATTTAGTGTGGGGAGATAATGAAGTAAACTGATGTTTTTCGTTATTTGTAAAAATATATTTACATGAAGTGTATCACAATATCTCCATTTTCCTCTCATCTGGCACTTTCATGATTCACTCTCAGTATGGAGCACAACCCAGAGATGTTTAAACTTCAGGAGAGAGTAGAGTAAAGGACATACTTTCAACATCGTTCGAATATCATGAAAATATTCATGAGTTGATAAATTGATTGAGGATGAGAACGGAAAAATTACGTAATTTACAATTTCAAGGAGAAATAATTATCTCCAGAATAATAACAATGATCTATTTTAATTATGAATTCCAACTAAAATATTATTAAATGAGCTCAGTTGATACTTTTTTATACAGAAAAAGAAAAAACATTAAAAATATCTGGAGACCCTCTGATGCATGAAAGACCAAGAATTTAATTTTGAGGGTCGAAGATTTGGTTCTTATAATAACCTAAATTTTTTAGGCAAATTTCGATATTTTTTTTTTCACTTTGAACAATAGATTTTTCTGTTCTGATTTTTTAAAAAATAACAAGAACCAAAAAATCAGCATTCAAAAGGTGAATTTCACTCTAGTCCGTCCTCAGCTCCCCATTCAGTATATTGCCCAGCCCTGGTAACAATGATTCAATGATCACATCTCTATTGACTCAAATTGATCTACCTTACAACTACAGCACTGAGTATTACTTTGATATGGCGTTCAATTGATCGTCGTTAATTCGTAGAGCGCCGAGAATAGCAGCGTAAACTACCCAGTAGACAGATATTTCATTATTCAGACATTTTAGCATTTTAACATTAAAAAAAAAAAATCAATCGAAAAAAAAAAATACCGTCATTTGAGGATTAAAAATCACAAGTTATTAAAAATGCAAAGCAACAATTCACATTTTAATATTTCACCGCGTAATTTCCTACTCAAAAGCAGATTGTCCATTTACTGGGTAGCTACTCTTAATTTGCAGATAAGAGCTTCGATTCATAGTTCAAAGGACCTTCTCAAAACTCCCTAAATCCCTATTTATACAATTTCTATGATAAACAACGTTAAATCTGTGAACAGTGATACTGATATACTTCTTCTTCTCCTAATATTCATCTCTATAACCTCTCTGTAATTGCGTTCCATCAATTTTTCAAATCGAATATTTCGATCAGCAGTGGCTCGACACTGGAGGGATTGACGTTTAGGTAAACCCCGACGACTTCTTTGTTCAGCCTGTGCAGATCTGATATCTTTCTGATCAGCCTCAAAAACATGGATTTTGATTCACAACCTGGGTAGACGCTCTCCAGGTATCTTCGGAGAAGGTAATAATAGGAATTCTGGAATGAGAAGAAAATATTCACTCAATTTGAATTAGAGGCTATTCTATTCAATGATATTAAAGATAACGAACATTTTTTGATTGGTTTTCCAGAATAATTATTTTGAGCTCATTTTTTTCAACAACTTTTTACTTTTCTTTCATCTGTGCTTTGAACACTGAAATAAAATAAGTATTTGGAATTGTATTCATTTTGGCGAAATTACTTTTAATTATTATAAATAGCTATCAACAATGCAATCAGAACTAAAAATTATATTTCATTCAACTGCAGAAAATTTTTCAAATTAAATGTTTGTAAAATTCTGCAGAAAAAAATCACAAAATTTTCTTGAAATGAAACCTCTTTTCCCAAAGTAAAATTGTTCAAAGATCTGTTCAATTTAGTGTGAAAAATGATGATTTTATGCAAGAAAATTCACCTGCTCCAACTTAATAACATCGCTATGAACAACCCGGGCTCTGTCCGGCGTAAATAATGCAATGGCACTCAAAATCAGGATAATATTCTCATCCCTCCACTTTGGATCGAAATCCTTGACGAACTTCGCATGCTCTGCATAAATATTGCCCTTGGCCTGCTTCAGCACATCGGTTTTTATCATAGACATGCTCTCCTGGGAGTGCGGAATCTTCCAGAGATCCTTCTCAAAATCGTAAGTGAGGGCTGACCTCAGAATCAACATCTCCGTACATCCTCCCTTGAGTAATGCTAATTGGTCCTCCTGACACATATTTTTAAATGCATTTATCTTCTTCGCCATTTTTATCAGCCTCCTTATCGCTACTGCTGTCAAATTTATGAGGTTTAGCAGCGTTCCACTGGCTTGTCCAGCATTTCCCTGCAAAGGAATGAAAGAATGACATTTCATACTAATTAAAATTTCATTTAGAAATGTCTCTTTAATTTTAGATTTATTAATAAATTACTAGAAACGTCTTCAGAAAATTTTCTGAAGAAACAATTTACAAAGCTAAAAAAAATTTGCTTGAATTGAATAAATAAACTTCATCATAAAACAAATAAAAAATGTTCATTTACATCAATAGAACACTCCTCTCCCAGCAAAGTCGTGATATCATCATCGAGTGGTGCCTGAAGTGCCTTATTAGCAACAATCAATTCATTCAGCTTGGCCCTCTCAGCGTCATTCAGCTCCCTATTACTCTGATTGTTCCCGAGACAGGAGTAAGCCGAGAATTCCAGCTTGATAGCCTCACAGAGTATGGACTCAATGGAGTTATTAGCAATGGGTGTGCTGCCCACATCCTGCATGACCTTGGTCACGTCGTTGGTGACCTTGTCATTCCCTTGAAAGACCTGACTGCTGGAGGTGGCGTGTTCGACCTCATCATCTCCCTCCTTCGATTCCCCGATCAAATCAGTCAGAATGGGATTGTCCACATAACCAATCCCAGGGTCAGTCTCCAGCATGTCTCTTATCAGCTCATCAGAGACTCCATTGTTAGCCAGGGACTGAGTGGAAGCTTCTGGAATTTCTTCCCTCTCGCTCTCCTCCAGTAGTTGAGCAACCTTGGGATTGTTTACAAGCCTCGACAGGAGGGTTTCGTCCTGAAAAATCTCCATGATCAGCTGAGGCCTTCTCATCAGCCTGAAGATGAAACTGGGACTCTGGAGTTTCTCGAGAAGGTCCGAAGTATTGGGGTCAATTCTCTTGGATTTTTCACATGAATTTGTCGGCTCAGACGTCGAACTCTCGATATGGTGGCTCGAAGGGCTGAAGGAGGGGTTTGAGGTGAAGTCCGAGAGGCTCTCAGGGTCATTCTGAGTCCCCTCTTCATTGATTTGTACTTCTTGGGGTGAGTCATGCGCATCGTAGGGCTTTTCAGCTCCTGGGGAGGGGCACTGGGGGCTAGAGGTGGGAGGGGACTCCTTCAGCATCTCCAGGGTTTTCGACCCTATGATGTCTCTACTCTCTGGCGACGAGGGACTGGGAACACTTGCTGCTGTCACTGGACTCATGCTCTCGATTGTCGAGGACCCCTTGCCGTCCAGGTCTGTATACTTTCGCTCTGACTCCCAGAAGCACGTCTCCGAGACTGTTGAGGCCACTGATGCCACTGATACTGATGTGTCGTCGTAATTGGGTTCATCGATTATCTCACGCTTCATTTTTCGGGACTTTGGGGGGTCCGAGGTCGGACGCTTCTTCGCTCGGTTCTGCTCGATCTTCTTGCGTTTCAGTTCTTTATCGTGCTCGGTCATTATGTACTCTTTTCTCATACCCACGGTTAAACACTTGTCCAGGCGACATTTTTGACAAAATCTGCGGGTCACTGGGGTCACTTTGCAGTTCTCGGTGAAGGGACATCTGAAATCCTGAAATTAATCATTACAGAGGAATGTCAATAAAACCACTGAATTCATGAATTTCGTGAATGCCCTATGATTGGAGATGGATTCTTAAAAATTAGGAGTGGATCCCTCGAAATCAGCGACATGTCCCTGAAAATCTAAACTTTTCTGTGATCATCATTTCGTTTGGATATTGAGGGACTGGAAAGAAGTAATATCGAGTTGAAGTTTCATCAATTTTGTTTCATTCGGGTATGAGTGCGTGAATTGACTTATCTACTAATTGCTATCGGCACGTTCTGATAACAGGGGAATGGAATTGAAGATTTGAAGATAAATTGGCGTATGTGATTGATCCTGATTCCCTGATTCATTAACTTCAAATATTGAATTACAATTTTGAACGTAAAATGTGAATGAGCTGAAGATAATGTCTAAGCGCCAATTTTCTTGGACATTGATCAAATAGATTCAGGAAGGATGCACATGTCCAAGAAAAGTATTATTGGAGTTCTATTGAAAACTCAATTTTCGAAAGAAATATTTTATTATAAAAAATTGATAGAATTTAATTTTTTATTAAAATTCCATTTAAAAAATTAATTTTCATTGGATAATCTCTCTGAAATTTCCTGACTGAAAAACTAATAAAATAACAAACGAGGCATCGGGAACATAAATTACGTACAATTTTCAAGTAATTGAAAATCCTAAAATAAATACTAGATAATTGAATAATTACAATAAAATTTCCAGTTAGCATTGATTATCTCATTAAATTATGCATTTTTAATGACGAAATTTCTTGAAATGTCCATAGAATAATTTCAAGGAAATTTCATACAGTAATACACACAACAAATAACCTTATTCTTGAGTGCATTCCTCCGGAAGAATGCCTTGCAGCTCTCGCAGGAGATAGCATTGAAATTGTACCCAAGGGCCCGAGCCCCGCAGACCTCACAGATCTTATGAGCACCCCTCGTTGCTTGTTCATCATCCATGTCGTTCTTGCGGAAATGAACAGGCCCCTCTCACTTGTACATCACACATCATCCACCCTGGTGGTTGGCATCTCCCCTCGATTTCTCCCTCGATGACTCACATCACACTCTGTCACACACTGTCATTTGTGAGGTATTATCCTGTCGTTCGTTATCGAGCCCAGAGTCAACATCGACATTCAGCACAGCCCAGCACAACACAGTACTCTACTTCATTCTCTGTTGATTCATTTGGCTTTTGTCTCACTATATTCAATGAAATTCCTGAGCAGAGGTTCAACAGTCCTGAAGCAATGGTCTTTAACTGACGGAGTAAAACCGCTCAATTGGCGAGGCACTTATCAACACTTAACGAGACCCAAACAGAACGTGTTGTGCGTTGTGGGACACCTTTTGACAACTGTTTTTGTTATTATTCTTTTGTTGTGCTCTTTTTTTTAGGCTTGAGGCCAGATATTTCTCGAGTTCCACAGCCAATAACCGCATAAGCAAGCAATCGAAAACGTAATATTTCAATTAATCTGTCCGCTTGAATAATTTGTAATTACTCAAATATTCTACTCCTGAATTTTTGTGTCAGTGGAATATTGCCAAATTATGTATGTATATTGCCAAATTCCAAAATACGCCAAAGTGGATAAGGTGGCGCACCGTCGAAATGGTTCTGGGATTCCAGCATTCCAAAACACACAGCCGAAATAATGTAATTTGGCTGGATTTTTGGGTTGGTAAAGAAGAATTGTGGTAGTGTTACCGACGAAAATCTGCCGACGATGTGAAAATAAAATGCATCTAATTCAAAATGGCGCACGGACATCACAGTGCTATTTGGTGAGATTGACACGTGTTGTGCACAGTTGATTGTTGTTGTACTTTTCTTCCTCTCAGCCTTCATTCAATCGTTTTCGGTGGGTCACCAGAATAAAATTATTGAAAAGGTGAATCAACAAGCCTAATTCACCTCAATATATTCAAAATAGTCAATAATAAAGGAGGGGAGCATTGAGAAATCATTCAACCTTGTATTTTCAGTTGAAAACTTTTTTGGAGCAAACGATCATTGAAAAATGGCAAGTGCAGAGTCCGTGCAGGTGAGCTCGCTGCCATTGCCACCTATTCAGTACATAAACTTGTACACCGATGAGAATGTCAGGCGAGGGAGAGCACCAAGACCACCACCACCTGTTCACGACAGCTACTCGATGTTTGGAAATGTCTTCAATGCTGATGACACGATCATTAGACCGTTAGAAGCACAAGGGATTAAGAGACTCTATCCTCAGCATTTTGATCGCCGTAGGGAGCTCAAGAAACTCAATCACTCACTTCTGGTCAACTTTCTGGATCTCATTGATTTGTTAGTGCAGTGCCCTGATAGTCCAAGACGTGCGGAGAAGGTTATTATTATGTTCTTTAATTCACTTGTCCGTTGATTTCTTCAGGGATAGCCATATTCATCAATTATAATTGCTGTTAGATTATTAAGTAGTCAATTATTAGTTGATAAAATTCGAAAATTTTAATTATCGAAGTAATCATCAATTTAAATAGTTAAATTTTCAATAATTATTCATTAATCAGCAATTAAGGTAGGAAAATTGACAATTATTTGGATAGTCGGAAATCCGGAATTATAAGAAATTAGAAAATTTATAGTTGCAAATTTTTAAATATTCAATTCATCATCAATTGGAAATTTGGGTTATCAATTATTTTACTATTTTTAAATTTCTATTAGTATATTTTTTAATCTTGATCTATGTAAATCTAAAAAATCCTTTTAATATTGACGAAATTAGTATTGATGGCCATCTCCGCTCTTCACCCTTCCATTATTCAAATTAATTTTAAAATTAGAAAATAAAAAAAATGGTTATTCTCTCCAGGTGGAAGATCTTAGTCTCCTCTTCATCCACATTCACCACCTACTAAACGAGTTCCGGCCCCATCAAGCCAGAGAAACTTTGCGGGTAATGATGGAACTCCAGAGACGTCAAAGGATTGAAACCGCCCTGAGGTTTCAGAAGCACTTGGAGAAGGTGCAGGAGATTCTCCAGCACGCTCTCCAGATGCTCCCCGACACCGCAGAATTAGACTCCAAACTGGCCATCAACACTGAAGCCATGGAGTGCTCTGACAGCCTCAACTCAGAACACCAAAACACAGACCCGTGCTGCCCCAGTGATAAAATAATGTGCAAACTGATCGATGAGATGGTCTCATCCACCGGCGCATTCTGAACTAACTCCCCTCTTTGCCCATCACGAGTTAAATAACGTAATTATCCATTAAGCTGTACATACTGATCTCGACGTGAACTGTAATTCTAGTTTTTGCAATGGGAAAATATATACTTCCAGCGTGAAAATTCGGTGAATGAATTCCAAACGATTTCTTCAGTATATTAGGTTTTTATTGAGACAATTAGGAATTTTCACTACAGAGTGGATCAAGATGATGATTCGATTATGTCAAGGTGAGGTGGGAGGGGGGAGGAGGTGAACGAAATAATTGTTTTTCTGTTGTTGAAACTCACCTTGTGATTCCTAAGATCAAATAAAATAAACGAAACAGTTGAAGCAAATGAATATAAGGAAATGAGACGAGTGAGCTGGCTGACCTGAAAGAATTAGAGCATTTGATTGACCTGTTGGAAGTCTTCTGGGGCATCCGACATTCTGAAATTAATTAATCAATTATTTAATCGAGTTTCTCTTCCGGGTGATGATAACCTGGAGCATTTCCTCGTCCAAGAGAAGGGGATAGCCTGAAAAATCGTAAATTTACATTTTATTTTACTTTTAATTTCATAAAATCAAAGAAACTTTGCTTTCCCCAAAATTCAGTATTCAATTAATCCGTAGTTTAGAATCCTTTTTAGACGATTTGTTTCGAGAGGAATGAGACAATGGTGCACAGAATGAATGATTAATCAAATTGTAGTAAGAGTGAGGTAAATAGATGTTATTTATTCAATAAAAATTTAGAAAAATATGGAAAACGGTTTCTTTGATTTAAGAAATTATAATCAACAAAATAATGATGAATTGATGTACTAGTCCACAGCATAATTGGCGCTCCCTGTTAACATAAGAATAAAATGTACAGATTGAGGAGTACATTGAGGGCAGGAATTGAGGGCTTGGAAAACTGGGAGTGATCTACGCTGGGGATCAAGGGTTGTTGCTTGGGGAGAATACATATTGGAATAATTCCACTTATTCTCTTCAACATTTTAGGGCTGCAATTTTCTCCTTCAACAGTTTTTCACTCGCACTTCACCATTAATTATCCCAATTTATGAAGTTCTGTCTCATCTCATTCCCAACTATTCATAAGCTTCGTGGTACAGCCTCGACAAAATGGAAATTAAATCAATTCACTCTATAGCCGATCCAGTTATTAATTCAAAGTCCTCGAAAAGTTGACGCAATATATAACAAAGTAATCTTCACTCGCGAAATTCTCACACGAACAAAAAAACAAATGGGAGAAAAGGTAAACGTCCGTCCTTTGCTGCGTCTCGTATTTCAAATGAATCCCACGTCACTGTTTTTTTGCCATTTCATTGAACAGTTCTTGACGCATCCACACAATTTCAAACGAAACCATCCACTTTTCGTCATTATCATGTCATTGTTTGTTTTTTAAGGAAAATGGCGAATGAACAGGAGTCATTAGTATGAGTTTTTCCTCCAACCACCTCGACCTCGAGGTCTGAATCCCCCACGCCCACCTGAACGATTTCCCCTGAATCTACCTCGGTTTCCTGGAGAAAAAAAAAAATTAACATAAAAATTTTCTCCTTTCCAAGAAAAATAAATTGGAGATCAAAAAATTTCAACTGTCTATTCTATTTTATTCTATTTTCATCTTAAAATTTACCGTAATTTCCTGATGAAATATTGGCACTGTATTTTCCACTTGGCGGTGTATAAATCTCCCTCTTGCCCCCCTGCTTGTCATCCTTATTACGTTTGGTTGGACTTCCATCATTGCCAAATGTGATTGGCGTGTGTCGTTTCTGGATTGATGATGTCTTCTCCACCTGATGAATATTTTACATCCAAAATCCAATTAGTTTTTCCAATACAAGATGAACACAGTGAGAAAAATTCAATGAGCCATTTCGAAATTTTTGTTAGTTAATGTTCTGATTCATTGCCATAACCTCGTTAACTATCTATAAATGAAAAATATTTTGAGGACGATTAGACTCATGAAAAAAGATCCAGAGACACAAAAAAAAAACTCGATATTTCTCAAATCCCTCATATCACCAGATAATTCAATTCTAAATAAAATATTAAAAAATTGTCCTCTCTGTTTAATGAGACTTTGTAATTGTTTTACTGAATGTTAGTTCCTCACCTTCTTAGTATCGACCACTGGAGTCTTCCACGAGAGATGAATAACACTCTTGAAACTCGGTGGCGAGTGGAACAAGTCCTTGATGAGTGTATTAATATTGTTGGTGGTCTTCAGTGCAACCACTTTCAGCTGATTCTCCTCGGATTTCAGGTCCTTCTCCGATTTCCCACTGATAGCTTCACGCAGTTCCTTAATATATCCTTGTATCCCCCTCGCAAAATATTGCAGCCTCAACCTGAACTCTTTCAGCTGCTCTGGATCCTTGATTAAAAACTCTGGAGTCTGTTTGCACAGCTTGTGGAATGCATACATGAGACACTCGACGTGGCTGAATTCTAATTTTGGGACTTCCGTGATGTCGGTGTCTGGTGGTAGTGGCATGTAGACCTGCAATATCAATTAATTCAGTAATTAAGCATTGGAACGATTTAAGTCCAATTAGGTGAGTTTCGGCTGAGTTTTCGACGAATATCTCCGAATCTAAGGGAAAACTGGCCGACAGTCTAAATCAACTTAAACGGTTTTATCACTTTGCTGCTGAATTTAATCATAACTTTATCGAATTAAATAATTCTGTGAATTTGAATAAATTAATTGCAGCCTCCAGAGGTTTTAGACAAAAATAAATTGACAATTACAATCAATGCGTTGTACAGCTGCTGTACTTTCTCCTCTGGTTTTTCAACATTTCCACAGAACGTCATCAACTCAGCTAGCAATTTCAGGATGATCAGCTGGGCGTCACGACCATCAGGTGCTGATATCAGTGACAAATGGGGTAGAACTTGCATACAGATGTAGGAGACGTATTTCGAAGAGTCAATTTGGGCCTGGAACACGAACAAAATAAATTGGCACAATTTTCTTCTCGTGGAGGACTGAGGAATGCAAGTACTTGGAATCATTACGATGGTTACTCACACTAAAGTGCGGAAGAGCGTGCTTTATACATTGTATCAACCTGTCCAACTGCTCAATGCTGCTGTGCTTGAAAGGCACGGACAATTCTGCTTGCTCAATGGTAATGTCCACGAGCTCTTGCTGTCCTATGACTGTTGATCCCAGTCTCGTCCAGCTGAGTACATCCATTATTCCGTGAAATTCACTGGCTGTTACGTCCTGTCCAGAAATTAATCAATATGGATAACAATGAATGGAGGATTTTTTCGTTGAAATGCAAGTTGGACTAGTTTTTTTTGTCTTGTAACTTGTGGTGACTTACGTTGAGTATTTTTTTGCACTCAGCAATCAATAAATCCTCAGATTCTTTAGTTATAACATCACGTCCAATGGATTTCAATTTTGAGGCCAGAAATTTTATACAAGACTCACGTTCCCCATCACGCTCACCATCGTCGTTTAGAATATGACTGAAAAATCCATTGAGTGTTCCTAAAACACAAAAAATTCATTAAAAACAAACTGTTTTATCATTTTTTATTCACTTTGTTGGAAATATATACAATTGTGGAAATTGATTATTTTAAATTTTCATCTACCTTTAGAATCATTTTTCAACAGTGACATAATGCTGTTATGAACCACTGCGAGTTCTGTGGGGTCCTCGGCCTGCAGTAGCTGCGCCAAAATATCTGCAATTCTCGGTGTATGCTCCTTATTGTCCTTGCAGAGGGCTGGTAAATCCTTAATCGCTTGCTTTCGAATCTGAAATTGAAGAACATAAAATTAGAAATTTATTAACATTCGTTAATCATCACCTGTTTTTGTTTATTTATGACTGGCCAGCTTTGCATTGCATTTATCGTGGCACTTCAGCAGTTGCCTTGAAATGCAAAGAATATGCAATTTAACTGCGATTTTATGCGAATATTGTAAATAATTTACATGGCTGGCGTGTCCCTAGGAAATTGTTTTATCCGAAAACTCAATAAAAAATCATTGCTATCTCTCTATCGTGTGATTGCATTATCAAGATTATAATTTCTATAGACAAGGTCTAAATAAAATCAATTGTGTAAAAAAAAAAAAAGAAACTCCATTGCATCCCTCAATTGTTTGGACGCCATAATGGACATTTAAAGCGAGGATTGATTCATAATATTACGCACAGCAATATCCTCATCCTCACAGAGGTCCAGGTGTGCCTCAATCGCCTTGTCCGCAAGTTTTGGAAAATGTTTGAAGAATCTCGCGATGAACTGCGACGCCAGACGCTTCTCCTTCGGGCTCCCCTTCACAGCTTTCAGAATCTCCAAGTACTCCTTCTCATGCTGGAAAATACATCATCAGAAATAGATATTTTGGACGACAACGTGGGTGTACTCCACACCTTCAGAAATCTAACTCACCTCCGGGAGTTTGTCTTTGGCGTCAGCTAGAATGCCAAAATGTTTGTACAACTTCTCAATACTGTCGGTGCTCATCTTCACAACTGATCAATTATTTTCTTCGTCGACGGGATTGTTTCTCCTCACTGTTTCTACGAGTATTTAGAATGGTTACATTAACTTTTGGGTGAAAATTGAAGTCGGTAGACCGGCGAGAGAATGCCAACAGGAATGTCGAGACAAAAATGGTGGACTCGGATGGAATAAATATTCTTGTACTGTGCTGTGGCATTGCCATTGCACGCTTCAACAGTGCTGCCACCATTGAAATTTCAATATTTTAATATTACTATTACGATACTAATTTCCGTAATTTCCATTGTTCCGAGGTGACATTCATCTAAATTATCTCTGCGACTTGATTTGTTGTCGATGAGTTGTATAAAGCTTCAATTTTGTCTTTTGTCAAAAGACAAAGTTGAATGTTTGTGTTGGTATTTTTGACTTGACAACAGTGCACTCTGATTGGTCGACGCTGGCGCCATTATGGGCAAGTGGAGAAAATGATCGTGTATGGAGTTTCCGGTTCTAGGTTATATACCTGACTTATTCGTTGAAAACAATAATAATAGAATAAAAAATAATAAATAACTGGGAGTGATTTTAAGGAAAAAATAGGCGAGAGGTGAAAATGTCGACGAGATGGTGAGGAGAATTTTATTAATACTGATGATAATTTATAACTATAATTAATTTGGTGATGAATGGTCTCCGATGTTGGAACTAATTATTGCGAATGTTGGAAAATTCAATGAAGAATTATTCATTCATTACCAAATCACGTCTGAAAGAATTTCTATTGCACTTTTTTATAATTAATATTTCAAAATGATATTAACTAATTGACAATATGTTATTGGTAAATACGTTAATAGAAAAAGTTGCATCGAAAGATGAAATTTTACAAATTGATCATCAAAATAGTTTCCCTTGGATAAAAAATTTAATAGTAAAAATATTTTCCATAATAATGCGAAGTAAAAGAAATAGAATTCCAATTCAATTTTCTATCGAATTCTCTCGTGTTTTTCGCGTAAGTGATTATATTCAATAATTGTGCATAACCATGAAAAAATTGAAATTATAAATCACTGTTGATCACCTAGGTACCCAATTTACCAGAAAGGAAATCCTCAACTCCGAGTATTTCTGCCAAATTTCTGGATGAAGATAGTCAAGGGTAAATACAAACTACCAGAGAACACCGTTGAATTTCACTGCTCGATGGAGATGACTAAATACGATGTTAAGAATTATCTCGAGAAAATTTACAAAGTGCCGGTGATTGATGTGAGGACGAGGATAAAAATGGGCAAGTTTAAATATGCTGCCACTGGTGGATATGTTGTCCAGGAAGACGATATCAAAGTTGCCTATGCAATTTTAGTAAGTTTTCTTCATATGATTCACGTCGGGGAGGTGCAATTGAAATAACATTCCCCATTATTTCAATTCCATGAGCCAGTAGAAGGCATTGAAGGAACTTTTTAATAAAGTCATAACAAAATTTGACGACATATTTTCGTCAATTTGAAAATATTTTCTTTTAATTGTTTATTCGCAGAATAAAGTCTTTGAATTTCTTAAAAATAATCAATTTTTTCCAGCAATTTGTAACTCAACTTTTTGACTTTTTCAATTGTCAAACGATTCGTTGATGAAAAATTAATTCTTTGGAATTTTGTACGAAATTTGAGTGAAATGTATTTCATTTTAAGCATAAATGAGCCTCATTTTTTGGAAACGAAAAATGGTCCATTTTGTCCCACTCATCCGTGAAAATTGAAGGAAATTGTTTTTGGAATGATTTGATACTGTGAACCCGTTTAATTACAGCCCACAGATCAGAAATTCGTGTTCCCTGAACTCTTCGATAAAGAAGAAAAGGCAGAAACCGAGAAAGACGAAAAGAAGAGCTTGTCGCAGATGGAGGACGGCTACAAGAAATTTTTGCAAACTAACGACAAGCCTGGCGTCCCAGGATGGTTTTCCATATAAAACTGTAGATACTAGTGTAAAAATAAGAGAAAATCTATCAATAAAAGAATCAAATAAATCATTTTGAATGAAAATAATGTGTTGTTTATTCCAACTTAGTTGAGAATTTAGTTTTTAACTAGTCACGAGCAGATTAAGAGATTTACCTTAAAACGATGATAATATTTAAGATAAATAACCGAACCGATATCTTGGTAAGATTTCTCAGATTTGGTATAATATTAGGTACGATAATGAGAATATAAAACTTTGCTTAAGCTTATCCTGAGCTCTGAAAGTCGCGTCATGGTGATGATTCGCGGCTGGCACCTCGAACATTCAGTATTCGTGGAGCATGAAGGCGTGAACGTTGCACATTGGGCATTGACTGAAGTCATTGATGAAAGTCACCTGTACAAAGAATGAGAAAAATGAACAGGTAGTCTATTCTCGAGTTGAAATCGTGCGTTCGATTTCGGTAGGTCCCATGGGACACACATGGTACGGTTTAGACAAATAAATTCCCTCGGTGTTCAATTCGATTCAAGCTCCCGTATTAATAATAATAAAAGGAATGTGAATTATTTTTATTCAATTACTTACCGTTTTAGTAACGAATCAACGCTGGGTTTGAGGACGTGAAGCAACAATTGTGAAGTTTTCAGCTGAATAAAACCGACTGAAGTCCTTTGTTTTGACACAGTGCGTTTAGTTAGTGCGTGTCCGACTGAGGAGAAACCTTCAAAACACGCCGGGATGTAAACAACCACGCGGAAGCAGCCAATGAGAGGCCAGGCGACTGTGCAGGGTTCCCCCATGACGAATTATTATTTCTCAGGAATTTAAACTCCACGTGCTTTTTTTTTCTTTCTTCTATGATTCATGATTTTTCTTGTCGCATGTGTTTCTATGTAGGAAAAGAAAATCTATTCGTTTGGACGTACGAAAAGAATTTCAGAGAAAAACCTAGGGTAAACATGCAGGCCCTTTTTTGCATATGAAATGAAAATTGTATTGATTATTTCACTTATCAATAATATTACTCGTGCATAATCATGCGATCAATTATTCTTGAAATGAGATTACTTAATTTATCCCAATAGACCGCCTTTGGGTCGGGAAGTTGACATAGATAATTGTTGAAGGCAATGTTAACACATGAGAATCCGTGGAGGAGTTGTTTCCATAGATTCGATGATTGATCAAACATCACTTTTCCTAGATTGAAAAAATGGCGAGTGGAACGGTGAATCCTGACAACAAAAGAACCGGAAATAATTTGTCGACGATTTATGGCAGGTGCGTTGCATACGTGTGATGACTGTGAAATGAATTTTTGAAAATAATACTTATCCATTAGAATTCGTTCTCTCAGAGTACCCACCGTCGGCACTGATAAAATGAAGGTGACCTTTTGCACGGACATGGACAAGTCCGTGATTGTTTACAATTTTGAGAAACGAGGCTGGGCACAGGTGGGACCTGAGGATGACTGGAATTTTTACTGGTAATTCAATTGGTGTTCTGCACAAAATTGTTTGGCATACTTTCACATCACCTCTGCTGTATTGTCTCAACAAAATCAGGCAGGAAAAAACATCATAGAAAAACCTAGCGAATTCGACAGAAAATTTTATCGGATTTTTATAGAACTTGTATAGGAAATTCTATTAGTTTTTGGACGATTTTATGGAAGAATTCCGCCGGTTTACGACACTTTAAAAAAAAAATTCCAATAAAAATTATTTTATAGAAAAAAAATCAGTATAGTTTCATATTTTTATACAATTATTTTCTATTGCGACATTTTCTATGGTAATTCCTCGACATGAATTTCCTAAGTGCTTTCCACTCCATTAGAAAAATCGGATTCTATTGATTTTTTCCATAGAATACTTTCAATAGAACACTTCTATAAAAAAAAAAAAAACGCGCAAATAAGCTGCGGAATTTTTCAATTTCTTCATCACTTGTGCGTAAAGTGAAGTTCTATGCACTCTAAATTTGAATGGCATTCATTGAATTTATCATTTCGCTTGAATAATTATTGTATTTCTAGGGCAGTAACACAATCCTGCCGAAACATATTCAGCGTAGAAACAGGATACCGAATGGGTGACAATCAGTAATAATTCAATACGGACTCCAATAAATATAGCTGTCTGTCTTCACCCGTTTATCCTTTTCAGGACGATAAATCATTTCCCGAATCACTACGAATTGACCCGCAAGGATTTATTAGTGAAAAACATAAAGAGGTACCGAAAGGACCTCGAGCGAGAGGGAAGCCCCTTAGCAGAACGTGGGGATGGTCCTGGTAAGTATCTACACCTGGACTTCATCCCCGTGACCTTCGTGTTACCCGCGGACTACAATATGTTCGTAGAGGAGTATCGAAAGTCTCCACAAAGCACTTGGATCATGAAACCCTGTGGGAAATCCCAGGGGGCGGGGATTTTCCTGATTAATAAACTTAGTAAATTGAAAAAATGGTCTCGAGAGGCGAAGAATCCCTTCAATCCGAATTTATCGAAGGAATCTTACGTCATATCTAGGTAAATTCAAATGATATAGACCAATGATTTGATTAAAATTTTAGTAATTGAAATCAATCATTCAGTAATTAAATCGCGAATTAAATGTAATAGTAAATTTTTCCTCCCCAATTACTCCACAGATACATCGACAATCCCCTCCTAATCGGTGGTAAAAAATTCGACCTCCGCCTCTACGTCCTGATAACATCCTTCCGTCCCCTGAAAGCCTACCTCTTCAAGCTCGGTTTCTGTAGATTTTGCACAGTCAAGTACGACACGAGCATACAGGAGCTCGACAATATGTACGTTCATCTCACGAATGTCTCCGTCCAAAAGCACGGGGTGAGTGGTACCTACCTGAGCAGCCACTTGTCTACTTGTCATACTAAAAAAAAAATAGAATTCAAAAAAATCTTGTCAACCAGGACGAGTACAATAGTCTCCACGGGGGCAAACTGAGCGTTCAAAATCTTCGTCTGTATCTGGAGAGCACTCGAGGAAAAGCTGTGACTGAGAAGCTTTTTTCAAATATCTCCTGGTGCATTGTTCACTCGCTGAAAGCTGTCGCGCCAGTTATGGCTAATGATAGACACTGCTTTGAATGTTACGGATATGATATCATCATTGATAATAAGTTAAAGCCCTGGTTGATCGAAGTGAGTCTGTGCATTATAGAGAAGATTACACGTACGGATTAATTTCATAGAACAATCTCGTGAATTTTAATTCTTGAAAATTGTGTTGGATATTTCCATTAGTTTTTTGACGATTCTATTGAGAAATTCCTTAAGTTTCTAATTCTTTTTTTTTCAGAAGAAATATTTAATGGAAAATATTCTATAGGAAAAATCCGTAGAATTCGATTTTTTAATATCTTAACTTATTCTTCAGGTCATTTTCAATAGAATGTCCTCGGCTCAAATTTTCCACGTTTTTTTCATCCTATTCTTCTTTTCTTTTCATCAAAAAAATTCTGTAAAAAATATCTCAATAGGATAGTAGTTGAATGGTAAAATCCAAATGAATAGATATCCAATAGAATTGTCCAGTGAATTCGCTAGGTATTTCTGTGTAATTTTTTAAAAACAAATAGGAAATTCAATATAAATCTAATAAATGAGTAACAAAAGAAAGGCAAATTAGTGATGAATGATGAATTTTCCCGGACTAATGCTTCCTTTGTACCCTCCTGAATGCCTTCACTGAATTCCATAAGAATAGCTCTCAATTCACTGATCCGCGTTGTCAAAAGCTCATACTAGTCTCCCTTAATTAAAATTCGTTCCAATCAACTCGAACAATTTTTTCAATAAATTCTCGTTCCAGGTCAACGCCTCGCCCTCTTTGACATCGACAACTGTGAACGACAGGATATTGAAATACAAGCTCATAGACAATATCGTATCCGTGGTGCTACCTCCGGACGGTGTGCCCGAGTAAGTGGGACATACAGTCAAGTCCAATTACCATAACGTCATTCAGAAAAGCTCTCGGAGCTTTGGAATTCTCGAGAGGATTCATACAATGTCAGCAGATCTTTTCATTTTTTCTTTTCATTCACTTGTTTATTCAATAGTGTCAGATGGAACAAGTGTCCAACGCCCGAGGCAATGGGAAATTTTGAACTTCTCCTCGACGAGGAACTCTCCGCTCAAGAGGAGAAGGACGGATACTCCGGCAAATACAGGGGCTCCTCAAACAAGTGGAAATGATCCAAGTAGTGAAGGGAATTTATATTTATTTAAAATACAACAAGAAATTTATTATTAGCCGTTCTTGCTTTCTTTTTTTTTGTACAGATATGATACATAAACAGGATATGATGGATACATCACGAATGAGAAGGTAAACCCTTCGATTGTGGTCGTGAAATTGTTTCCACAATTTTTAGTAATACTTTTTTCATTCATGAGGCGAATTCGTCAAAATTGGCAGTGTGAAATCGTTTGAGAAATGGCGATTAATATTTTTAGGGGAGAGAATTCTTTTTCTATTCTAGAATGATTAATGGTTATGGCACCCTGTAGTCTTTAATTAAGTTATTTTGTTCGATTGGAAAATGTTGCAACAGGATAAGTCGAATTTCAGAATTTTTATTTTCATTTTAATGTCGCTGGATGTAAAGAAAAATTAACTGAGCAAAATATACAATTTTCCTCGTTGAACCTAGAAAATTCCAGTCATTTATCACAATTTTCTGTAAAGTAATATTTTTCTACATTTCCCGCAAAAAATGTTTTTTTTTTAATTTCATTTTTTGTTTGAAACTTTGACTCAATATTTTCTGATATAAAATGACCATGAATCCTATTCTTCTGAGCTTTTATCACAATTTTATCTCTGATTGGCAAACACCTTAACTACTATGGACTTATCCTGTTGAACAAATTTATTTTTGGGATCAAAAACTTTGATACAAATTGCACAGAAATCTCAACGAGCGGTGATGTCGCGTACAAAAGCATCGATATACAATTTCTCATCAAGGGGAGATTGCACTTGAAATTGATGAGTTTATTACTTCAATTTTAGTGAAAAATATGAGAAAAAATTGGTGTTTTGATTTTTTTTATGAATGAAATTTTCAAAAGAATTTGGAAAATTCTACTTCAATGATTTATGATGCAGTTGAATATAACTAATTTTTTGAAATTTTCACTGCCAATTTTGAGAAAAAAAAAAATTAAAAAACTCAAAAATATAAATTTTTAAAAAGCTCGTTTAGTTATTATATGTCACGAGAACACATTTGAAGATTTTATCCCTCTAAAATCTCCTCCTGATCAATAAAAAAAAATCAAAATCTAATTTTTTCTCATTTTTTACATTATAACCAAAGTCGTAAACTCATCAGTAGGATGTATTGGATTGGAAATTTGAATGCAGTCTCCCCTTAACATTGAATGTGCGTATGACATATCTCGATATATAGCAGTATCGAGTAATTTAAATCGATGAAGAAATTAGTACTAACCCTAGTATATTCGTGGGAGCAGCCTTTGGTTAAATGCCACATTCAGGTAAGAAACCATAAAGTCCATGTGTAATCTTCTCTCCATTCTCTCTTTAGAGACAAATAACGAGAATATAATATAATACGATATATCTTTATCACAATTAACAGAGTATACATAGACATAATTAATGGCCTTTGTGCAGACATTGGAGACGAGACTATTTCCTTGAAATGCTGTGTGGGCTCTGTCATAAAAATTATCTCGAATGTGGAAACAAGCTGTCATGTACATTTTTACACGTTTTTTTTTCACGGTGCTGTCTTTAAAATTATTAGTCTGACCGTCACAATTTTTTTTTTATTTACACGCTTATTATTTACAATGCATCATGCTCCACCGCTATTCTGCTTCTTTTATAAATTACCTACAGAATGTACGGTTCATGATCACTAGGCACTTGAGGCGCAATTTCTTTCTCCCTTTGTACAAGAATGTAATTCAACTATAAAACAGATATTTGCACTTTTTTAAATGCGTTTTGTTTGATACACCTATCGTATCTTTGTACGAAGGTAACAAGTATAAAAAAATTTAATAGAAGAAATCTAGGGCTGTAGAAAATTCTCTTGAAGTTGTATTAGAAATTCTATTTGTTTTTTGGCCCGATTGCTATTCCGGAAAAAATCTATGGGTTGTGATTTTTCGTGTGAATTATTCTCTTGACATTTTTTTCTGTACCAATTTTTAAGCATAAATTTTCATCTTTTCTCTCATTAGAAAATTTAAGTCCAAGACTTGTTGTAAAAAAACATTCCAATAAAATTCCCAAAGAATTATAATAGAATGCATTCGATTTTCTATTCAATTTTCTCATACTTAATGTAGCACCGATTTTCATTAAAATAAAACTTAAAACTAATGGAGGCCCTCATTTGAATATCGAGTAATTCACCCATTTTGATTCTCTTAATACTTTGTCGCAAGGAAGAAGAAAACGAAAATTGAATTTCGATTATTTTTGTTGCGCGTTAAAAAATAAAATTCGAAAAATCCTACCCGATTTTCCAAGCTCCCTTACGGCGCAGGAGACGGTGGAGGTGGAAGCGGACTGAAATACGTCGAAGACCTGGAGCTTGGAGATGGGGGACAACTGTAGGCTGTGTCACTGTGGTAAACTGATCTTGGCGTTGGTGGTGGTGGACCTGGCTCACTTTCGTACCTGTAGCGAGCTAGTTGAGGGTAATTGCTGTCTGACTCGTCGCAGACGTCAGTGCTGCAGGGGGTGGGGGGCGGAGGCTGGTTTATGCTGCGGTAGTAGCGATAGGGACGGTAACGAGAGGCATTGCTGCTGGAGCAACGAGTTGAGTTCGCCGTTGTTGCTGGACTCGGTGGTGGATTGAGGGTCTCCTGGGGGTAACCACCTGCTGAGCTACCCCTAGTGGAACTTGACGCACCTTTAAACATTGGGGGAACATTTTCGAGGTTATTTCAGCGAGAAAAAAAAAAAAAAGAAGGCCGTGACTATTCGCACCATTGCGTGAATCACTCCCGTACACTCCATACACTCCACGCACGCGGGAAGTTTGCGTGTTTCACGCAGCCGAATTTTCATACTGCTGTGTATTTTACGCAGTTGAAGTTTTATACACCTGTGTGTTTATACACACAGGAGTGTGAAATACACAGGAGTATCTGAATACGACTGCGTGAAACACACAGGTGTATAAAAATACAACAGCGTGAAACACACAGGTGTATAAAAATACAACAGCGTGAAACACACAGGTGTATAAAAATACAACAGCGTGAAACACACAGGTGTATAAAAATACAACAGCGTGAAACACACAGGTGTATAAAAATACAACAGCGTGAAACACACAGGTGTATAAAAATACAACAGCGTGAAACACACAGGTGTATAAAAATACAACAGCGTGAAACACACAGGTGTATAAAACTTCAACTGCGTGAAACACACAGGCGTATAAAAATGCATCTCCGTGAAACACACGGGTGTATAAAAATACAACTGCGTGAAACACACAG